GTTAAACTAAATGAAAGAAAATTATATTATACTTTTAAATATAAACCTAATACTAAAAATAATTTGAAAAAAAATACCACGTGCGTAGCACGTGCATTTTCCTAGTCCTTCTAAGAGATTCAGTCATATCCCAACTGTATAACTTCATGATGCAATAAACTCTTCGAAAAAAAAAGAGAATACCTTGGCAGCCATGGACGACAGAATATCCCAACTGCCAATACCTATACTTCACCACATACTTTGTTCTCTCTCCCAGAAAGAAGCTCTGAGAACTTGTGTACTCTCCAAACAATGGCGCCACATAGGATCAACCCGCCCAAACCTCGACTTCTCCGAAGAACGGTTCAACGACACACAAGAAATGTCTGCCTCCGTCAACTGCTCCTCCATACTGCAACACATTCTCTATCAGCTCTGCAGACCATGGAGCCACAGAGGATCAACTCGCCCCAACCTCAACTCTTCCGGAAGTACAGAACAAAACTTTTTCTCGGTAGTCAACCAAACCCTACAAGGATATCTTGATCGAAACTTCTCCATACACAAACTCTATCTCGACTTTTCGAGGCCCGACTCACCACCGGCTGTCTCCCTTCTCGACAAATGGATCCCGATGATAGCCGCCCTCAGCATAAAATCGTTCAAACTCAACTCTCGTTCATATACTCCGGCAGTTAATGGCTAAAATCAATTGCCATTGATAAATCACAATCACAATGAAAACGCAAATTCTATGTAAAACTATTTTGATGAAAGAAGCAGCTGTAATGTACTATTGCATTGAACAACGTATGACCTAGATGGAATTTACAATGCTTTATATATACTAGCCTGAACATATTATAGCCATAGGATCAAAATCAAAGGCTGAAAACAAATATGAGGAACAAGACAAACATTAACAAGAAAGGTAAAGGAAAAGGGTTTCACATGTGCATGGGAAATACATGCACACGTCCAAAAATAGAAATTAGGTTGACCGGACTTGACTAAGCTTAATATCTGCTATTACGCCCCCTTCAATTCGAGCGAGGGTTTAAGTTTGACTGTGAGTTTGTCACGAAGCCGAGTGAAGAATTGGCCGGATAAAGGCTTAGTGAGGATGTCAGCTGTCTGGTCCAAGGCTGGGATATGATGAACAGAGATAGTTCGAAGTCCAACCTGTTCTCTTATAAAATGCAAGTCAATGGCAGCATGTTTGGAATTTGAATGATGAACGGGATTGGCAGAGAGTAAGACTGAACCAAGATTGTCAACCCAAACAGTAGAAGGGTTCAGTTGTGGTTCATTTAATTCAGCTAACAGTGCCCTTAGCCATATGAGGTCACAAGTGGCAGCAGCTAGGCTTCTACATTCAGCTTCTGTGCTAGATCGTGCTATGGTCTTCTGTTTCTTGCTGCTCCATGAGATTAAATTGCTGCCAAGAAAGATGCAAAAACCAGAGGTTGATCTGCGGTCATCAAGATCAATTGCCCAATCTAAATCTGCAAAGGCAACAAGTTGAAGTGATGGTGACCTAGTGATGTGAAGACCACAATGGAGTGAACCACTGAGGTATCTGAGTAGCCTTTTTAAATCTTTCCAATGAGTATCAAGAGGATTTTGCATGTATTGACTACATTTATTAACAACAAAGGCTATTTCATGTCTTGTAATTGTGGCATATTGCAATGCTCCAATAAGTTGTCTGTAGAGAGTTGTATTTTCAACTGGATTGCCTTGAGTTTTAGAGAGACCTGGAGAGGACACCATTGGTGTGCTAAGAGCATCTCCAAGAGCCTTCCTATTAATCTTTTTTATCTCAAAAATAGGGATTTTCTCTCAAAAACTGTCTCCAACAGTTCCCCTAAACTTGGTCCTATTTTTAGGGTGACCTCAAATAGAGGCTTCTTTTCCTCATTTCTGAGGAGGGAAAAACGACCCCCCATTTCAAATAATAATAATAATAATAATAATAATAATAATAATAATAATATAAAAAGAAATAATATTATATTAATACATGAAAAAATATAACAAATAATTAATAATAAATTACTAATAATAATAATTAAAATTAAAAAAATAAAAAAATAAAAATTGTTCAAAAAAATAATTTATTTGATTAAAAATTAATAAATTATGATAACAATTAGCATAATAATAATAATAATAATAATCTAAAAAGAAATAATATTATATTAATAAAGGAAAAATATAAAAAATAATTAATAATAAATTACTAATTATAATAATTAAAAAAATTAGTGAATATTATAAAATTAGTTAATTACCATTATAATCGTTAACAGTTACAATATCAAGTGGGCTTCAAGTGGGCTTTTAGATAGATTTGTGGGTCTGGTTCATATTCAAATTATAAAATAGGGAGACTCTTGGAGAACAAAAGAAAATAGGAAGCAAATGGATATAGGATGACTCCTTATTTCTCCAAATAAGAAGTTTAAAATAAGAAGTCTCTTGGAGATGCTCTAAGGCCCTTGCAGTTGGACATATTAGCCTTCTTCAGAATGTTTTTAATATATGTTGTTTGACTGAGAAAAGACCAGTATTGGTTTTGTCTACTTCAAGGCCCAAGAAGTAATTGAGGGTGCCTAAATCTTTGAGAGCAAAATGATCCTTGAGGACTGAAATGATATGATCAACCATGTGAGTGTGAGTCTCTGTAATGAGTAGATCATCCACATATGCCAAAAGAAAAACACTGCAGTCCTTGTCATTTTTTTATAAAAAGAGAAGAATCTGACTTGGAGCACTTGAAACCAAGAGAGCGAAGGATTGTGCCAAGCTTTAAAAACAAAGATCTTGATGCCTGTCTGAGGCCATATAAAGATTTCTTGAGAGAGCAAACCATGTTGTCTCCTTTTTCATAGCCAGGAGGTTGAATCATATAGATGTCAGTGTCCAAATCACCATTTAAGAAAGCATTGTCCACATCCAGTTGTCTAATTGGCCAAGATTTAGTGACAGCAAGGGAAAACACTGTTCTAATGGTAGCTGGTTTAACCACTAGGCTAAAGGTTTCAGTAAAGTCTAGTCCAGGAACTTGGCTAAATCCTTTAGCAACTAGTCTGGCCTTAAACCTAGCCACTGAACCATCTGCATTCTTTTTTAACTTAAAAATCCATCTGCAGCCTATAGGTTTCTTACCTTGAGGAAGTTCAGTCAAGGTCCAGGTGTTATTGTTGATTAAAGCTTTGTATTCTTGGTCCATAGCATTTTTCCAATTGATGTCCTGGAGTGCTTCCTCAAGGGTGGAGGGTTCAACATATCCAGATGGTGGCTTTGTGCATGAGAAGATCTTCTTTTTGAAAATACCAGCTTTCCCTCTTGTTATCATTAGATGTATGGTTTCTGCAGGAACATTGTTAGTAGCAACAGACTGTATAGGTGTAGTATTTCTACCACTTTGAATTGGCAAATCTATGTAAATCTGTCTAATAGGTATTCTTGGAGAATTAGTTGAAGGAGATTGAGTATGGTGAGAAGAAGATTGCTGAGTGTAGGGTGTGGCTGTGTTAGAATGATGGGAGGTAGAGTGGTGAGGAGAAGATGGTGTAGAGGGGATAAGGGGAGGTGGTTGTATGACAAGAGGAGCAAAACTGAGATTAGGATCAGATTGAGAGTGATTTAAAGAGCTGTCAACTTTGTTCATAAAAGGAAACACATGTTCATCAAAAGTCACATGCCTAGAGACAATAATTTTTCTGTTGGGTAGAAGAATTTTGTATCCTTTGTATTGGTCATGATATCCAAGAAAGACACTGAGTTGGCTTTTAAAATCAAGTTTATGCTTGTTGTATGGTTTTAAGTAGGGATAACAAGCACAACCAAAAACTCTCATGTGACTATAATTGGGCTTTAAACCTGTCAAGGCCTCAAAGGGGGATAGAAATTTCAAAACTTTACTAGGAACTCTATTCAGTAAGTAGACAGCAGTAGAAAATGCATGATCCCAATATTTCTTAGGGACAGAAGAATGACCAAGAATGGATAAACCTGAATTCACTATATGTCTGTGTTTTCTTTCTGCCATTCCATTTTGCTCAGGTGTGTAAGGACATGACATTCTATGAGTGATGCCATTAAGAAGAAAGAAATCAGACAAAGGCTTGTATTCTGTCCCCCCATCACTTTGAACTATCCTGATTTTCTTTGAGAATTGGTTTTCAACAAGGGTTTTAAAATGAATGAAGGCATTTGGTGCATCAGACTTGTTCTTAAGAAAATATATCCATGTGAACCTAGTCTTATGATCAACAAAATTGATGTAATAGCTGTGACCAGTTTCAGACTTGATGGGGCAAGGTCCCCATAGGTCAGTGTATATCAATTCAAGGATGTCATAGCAATCAGTTGCAGAATCATCAAAAGAAAGTTTATGACATTTCCCCATAAAACAAGAAGAACATAAGGGTCTGCTTTCATTGTCATCAAAACCAACATTACAGCTTTTAAGAGCCTTTTTTACAATATCATAGGATGAATGTCCTAATCTATTATGCCAAATGTCTATACTAATTTTATTCTTGAGGAAAGCTGAGTGGGTCTGAGGTTGAAACTTGGAGATTGGGGGATGAGCTGCAACTCTATTCCTTTTTGCTGGCATCATGTCAAAGCTATACAAGCCATTAATAAGCTTGTCTTTGAGTAGGGTCTGTCCTGTGACTTGGTCCTTTATAGACAGAAGAAAGGGTGAAACTCAAAGAAGACTTTGTTAACTCTAGCAAATTGGGATACACTCAAAAGATTTTTAGTTATATGTGGGACAAAAAGAAGTTTATTGAGGACAAAGGATTTGTTTTTATTGGAGACAAACTTTAACATAGATGAGCCAATATGAGTAATAGGCATACCTGCACCATTTCCCATTTCTATCTTGTCATCACCAAGATATTCAGTAGCAAGATTCAGATTGTTGACGTCTGCTATGATGTGATTGGTTGCTCCAGAATCAGGCAGCCATTGAGAATCTTGGAAATTTTGTCCCACATCTGAACCACCAAAGTTGCTAGCACTGTATGAGCTTAAATTTGCCATGTTTTGATATCCTTGTTGGCCTCTGAAATTGTTAGGCTGAGAGTAAGAATAAGATTGGTCAAATCTGTTGTAACATCTGTCAGCTGTATGGCCATCCTTTTGACAGATTTGACACTTAACAAAGTTGTTTCTTCCTCCTCTTCCTCTATAGTTGTAACTTCTGCCTTGTCTACCACCTCTATTCCCTCTGCCTTGATTAGATCTGCCTCTAGTGCTCAGATTGGAAACAAATCCTCCTCTTTTAGATGCTTGTTGAGATGCTACATTAGCAAATCCTCTAAAACCATCACCATTGAGAGTGCTCACAATGTTTCTCTCTATTCTGCTCTCAAATGTCAAAAGAAGTGACTGAGCTTCTCTAAGAGTGCAAGGAGGGATTCTTGAATTGATGGACACTGATACATAGTCATATTTTGTCCCCAAGCCATCTAGCATCGATGAAATATGGTCATCTTCAGTGTATGAGTTACCAGCAGCTGCCAATGCATGATAACAAGACTTTATCTTGTTCAAATACTCCCTCATTGTCATTGCACCCTTCTTGAGATTGTGCAGCTGTGACTTGATTTGCATAATCTTGGCTCTCGATTGGGTTGTGAAATCCAACTCAAGAGATTCCCAGATCTCAGATGAGGTGTTGAGGCCAACAGTGTTGACAAGTATCTCTTCAGTAAGAGAGCTCAAGATCCATGACACCAATAACTGGTCTTGCTTCTGCCAGTTGAGAAAAAGAGGGTTAAGAGTATTGAATACTCCATTTTCATCAGCAATGTATTTTTCAGAACAAACCCTTCTAGGCCATAGCCTCTAACAGTAGCAAGAACTTGATGTTTCCACACAAGATAATTACTTTCATTCAGTTTGACTGTGACCAGCTGTGCTTAAGGTTGAACCACTGCATTAATCTGACCAGAACTGGTTGAATCAGAGGACGAGCTTGCCATACTTAGCTCAAAAGAAGAAACAAAATAAAAAGAACATGAAGGGTGCCAGATCTGAGATTCAAAAATGAAAAGCAACGGATCTCGAGCCAAATGGACAAAGAGACGGGTCAAGATCAACCCGCTCTGATACCATAGTGGCTAAAATCAATTGCCATTGATAAATCACAATCACAATGAAAACACAAATTCTATGTAAAACTATTTTGATGAAAGAAGCAGCTGTAATGTACTATTGCATTGAACAACGTATGACCTAGATGGAATTTACAATGCTTTATATATACTAGCCTGAACATATCATAGCCATAGGATCAAAATCAAAGGCTGAAAACAAATATGAGGAACAAGACAAACATTAACAAGAAAGGTAAAGGAAAAGGGTTTCACATGTGCATGGGAAATACATGCACACGTCCAAAAATAGAAATTAGGTTGACCGGACTTGACTAAGCTTAATATCTGCTATTAGTCTTCTTAGCCGAGTCCCTTGAAGAACTACACTTGTGCCAATGCAGGGTGAGCCCAGTCGAGAGCGTTCGGTTCAAATGTCTACGCAAACTCACCGTCGAACAGGTCCAAGTTGATGACCGCACTTTCGAGACGATAATGTTGGGCTGCCCTTTGCTCAGGAGCCTGGTCCTTAAGAGTTGTTGGGAGTTGAGAAACTTTAGGCTGAGCGAGGCGGCATCGCCTAGGCTCAAGCACTTTGTATTGTGTCATACCAAGAGGATCGAAGGGCGTAGCATCGAAATCGATGTCCTAAATATCGAGACGGTCAATATCGCAGGCCCATGGATTTGGTCTCACCGCCAAAGCACATTATTGTTCTCCCCTCTCACGAGTTTGCGTCTCTATGATGTGATCATGTCGAGCAAGTCGTTCGACTGGTTATCGTTCAGCTGCCCGGCTCTTGTGAGCTTGGCACTACAGTATTGCTCCGGTTTCGAGGAATTCCATCTTGAAAGTAATTCAGTTAAGTACTTGCACATCTGGACCAAAGAAATATTGCTTAAAAGAATTACGATTTGTGTCCCGAACATTGTCAAATTTAATTTCAATGCCGATATTCTCCAGGTGCCGGACACATTCTCTTTCACGACCACTACTTCCAAGGAGTGGTCCTCAAAAGTATTCCTCTATTCTTCACGTGAGGAAGATCCTGATTTTGATGTCACTTCATGGTTCCCTAAGCTGAGACGATTGCTCAAGGCACTAAGTGGGTCTCAAATTTATCTGTCTCTGCAGATGAACGGCGACCCTCAGAATGTGCCCTGTAGTGCTGTTGTCAGTAACGAGCTGCCTGTGGTGGTGTGGATCTTGGATTTTACTACTTATAAATGTCGCACGGTGTCTTGGTACTCGGGCTTCACCAATGTTTTGTTTCGTGTTTGTCAACCAAGTCATATATGGGGTTGTAGTCTCGTGAACAAGTCAACCAATAACTACAAGCTCTCAGAGTTTTAGTTCAACATCTTGCTTGCAAACATGAGCCAAGGGACCGAGACCTACTTTTGGCGGCACGATCTGGAGCATGTGGACGTGAACACTTTTGAGGGGCATCTCGTTAAGTGGACAAACCTTTCAGAATTGCGAAACAGGACGTATGATGAGATAATATGCCTTCAGTTGAAATGGAGAGTTCAGACCACGGCATAAGTACTGCAAACTCTCTATGCACTCTTGCTTTTCTTGAAACTTAAAATATCCGGTTTTCTTTCTCTCCAGTTCAACCAATTGTTCCCTTGTAGATCTTTTCTAAACCATTCATATAGCTTGAGCATTTTCTAGCCATTCATATATATATAAATGTGTGTAGCTCCTTAAGGGTTACTGTGTAATGCAAATAGCTTGAGCATTTTCAGCCGCCATGTACGACCTTTCTATGTTCTTGAGAACTCTGATCTTGCATGAAATCCTTCAATACTCATTTGATCCAAATCATACTTGGAAGTGTTATACATATTGAAAATTTTGTGTTTTGGATATTTTTGTTCCCTGATTTTACTAATAACTAATTATATATTAGTAGAATACCCTTGTGTGTACGGGTACTTGTTAAGAAATTATATTTAAAATTAAATAATAATATAAAAAAATTGTTTTAATTTTTATGTACTTTTTTGAAACAATAATAATAATAATATTATTATTATTATTTATAATGACATCGTCAGAGTGGTCCTCAAAAGTATTCATCTCTTTATCTAAGTATGATCCCAATTTAGACATCAATTCATGGTTCCTTAAGCCGAGACGAGTGCTAAAGGCACTAAATGGGTCTCGGTTCTCTGTTTTCGCAGATGGACGCCGACCCTCGGGACGTGCCCTGTAGTGTTGTTCTCGGTGATGAGCAGTCCGTGTTGTTCCATAAAATAAATATTCTCTTTATCAACTAAACTAGTGCCGATTCGTGCGATGCACGTGGAACACTGTTTTAAGGTTATTTACCCAGTTTTTATTATATTTGTGAATAAAGAAAATTAAATAAATAGAACAAAGAATATTGTTATATATTATTGAAAACCTCCTTGTAGACAATACTTTTTGTCTTATAAGCATACAATTCTCTCGCAAATTAATATTTCCAAGCTTTTTCGATTAGTGACACTGGAAACAACTACATACAACTGTCCATAACTGAACATCGTCTTCTACAAGAACATATCAACATGTGATAAAAAGTGACACTGACTCTTGTTAATCGTCAGGACATAAGAAACCATTAGGAGAAACTCTATCCTCTGAAATTTAAAAGTACTATAAAGTCAGAAGGAGTTAGTCATCCAAGGTATCAACACCTTATCTCCTGCATTAGATCCAGTCATACCATTGAAGCACATGAGTAGAGAGCTTTGTGACAATCAATATCGTACCATACATTCAAGCACAGAGTACTAAATTTATTATAATAAACTTTAAATATCAATGTTAATATTAGTATTAGTATTAGTATTATTATCTATATCAGAGCACGAATGGCAATGAAAAAAATGAAACCCAACTCCTCGTCATGCATGAAATAGGATTTTCATGTAGTTTTGATATTCAATGCGAGCAATTATTTGAATTACCTGCAACATCAAGCATGGTTTATTTTTTCTTGAAACTTGCTTTGGCAAACCGAATTTGCACTTCATGTTAAAAGTATTGTTGATTGGTCGAAAAAAGTGCGTATTCTAAATATTTACTAGTGTATTTTTATATACTTAATTTTGTCGCACTTCTATATTTTTCGACTTATTTATTTTTTTGATGGAGTCATGTACTATTATATTTTATGGTTTATTTTCAGGATAACGGAACATTTTTATAGGCGACGTGGTACCAAGCGAGAATTTAAGTAGCCAACATGGAGTACACAGTATCAACACAAGTTCGTCCCAACATCTGTTAATATTCGGGCTCAAGGATGACATATAATTTAAGGCCCAATATCGTTTGATTTGCAAAGTGGATGCTAGTGGTTAATTGATACATGTGGGATGAAGGTTTTTTTTAAGGCCCAATATCATTTGATTTGCAAAGGACATTCGCAAAGCAACAGAGGAAGAAAAGACAGGGCCGCCATGCATACGGGAAAGAACAGAGAACGGAGCAGAGCAGACATACGCGAGAGAGCCCGATGAAACGCGGAGGGAGACCGCACCCGCACACGGAAGAGGATAATTCTATTCTCTTTCTTTTGTTTTTATTTATTATGTTAGCTTAGATTTTATTCTAGTTCCGAGGATGTCAAACCCTACGACTTGATGATGTTTGATTATATTTCTTGGCTGATTATTAAGTTACCTTTTTGGAATTGTTTGTGTTATTTTGAATAATTCACCATGATGTGTTGAGTTTAATTTAGATTGATCACCTAGATTTGGCTTTACATATCTACACCTAAATTAGGCCTTCAATCCATAATTGTTGATGTGTTTAATTCGTAAGTGGTATCTGGAAGATGGTAACTACCGGGGATAACACGGCCTATTTAAGTGAATGAACGCGGTTGAGTTCACTACTTAGTCTAGCCTATTTTTCTAATTCGTAAATCGGCTGATTGTATTAAATCTAAGAAGCGTTTTCTAGACTGTACAAGAAGTCAGGTCTAATCGTAGAGCGTCTCGCGGTTAGATTAAAAATAAGGAAAAATTTGGGTAACAGACCTTGTCGTTGCCTAGGGCTAGTAATTTCATAAGATAACGAGATTTGATACCAAAGTTGATTAGACGAGTCATTCGAGGGTGTAGACGGAACCGTGAACTAGAAAGTTCTCTTCATTTATTTATTTTTATTTTCATTTTTTAGATAATATTTTATTTGTTAGGATTTTAGTTAATTTAGTTCTTAAATTCAAACCCCCCCTCTTTTTATTGCTTTCTTAATTCAATTAATACGAGAAATTCACAATTTAATTCACACTCCTCGTGGGATCGACCCTTACTTGCCACTACTACTAGCTAGTAGAGGTTAGTTGAGGAAAATATAAATTTTAATTTTGCCGCGTTGCGACGCGCAGTCAATTGTAATTATCTAAAAGAATAATTAAAAAGAATATTGAGCATGTGAGATATTACATGACTTGTATATCTATTTATAGAATTAGTAAAAGGCTTAAGTGAATTAAATTGCATACATGTTTTGATTTGAAAATATTGCAAAAAATAACTTAAGGTCTAGAAATTGCATCAAATTAGTTAATTTGAATTATTTATTTATATTAAATTATAATGATTTGATAATTTAAATTATAATTAATTTGAAAAAAAATACATATTTTTTTTGTTCAAAACGATAAAGATGATATAAATAACTCCAAGCGAACCAAGTTCGAATACAAAGTCAAACTAAAACGAAATAAAAACTGGGGGGACTCGCATGCAAGAGGCCTAGACGCCCAACATTGGACCAAACTAAAACAGAGACTAACCAGCTAAAAAACAACACAGAGAGAGATAGAACCACTGCAAACGCCTAGCTCTAGATCTCCTGCGCAGAAAGAGAGAGAAAAAAAAACTAATTGCAAAGAGCAAAAGACCTGCCATTCTCTGACTGCATTTTTAAGTACAATTTGAGTTGGCAGGTAAATCCCCTCAAATAACCAGAGATTCCTCGAACGCCAAAGCCACCACAACATGTAAGTGGTGAGCTGGATTCGAGCTTCAGCAACATCATCCATACTACAAGAGCAGATTTGTCTCCACCAAGAGCAGAAGGTAATACTTGGGTCTTGTAGATCATTCCTGTGGACAGGGCCAGTATCCCAAAGTCTTCTAGCATTGGTATAGTGAAAGAAAATGTGTTCAATTGACTCGGGTTCTTCTCCACATGATTGGCAAATAACAACAATGTCCAAACCTTTCAGAATAAGAGCAGTTTTAACTGGCAGAGCTTTTGAGTAGCATTTCCAAATCAGATGTTTGATTTTTGAATGAACCTTCAGTTTCCAAGTTCTGGATCTAATAGCTTTGATTGCCTTAGAGTTAGAACTCCCCTCAGGAATGTCAAGGCTTTGTATCTTTCTCAGCAGCAAGTTAGAGTAGATAGAAGAGACCGAGAATTTGCCTTTTCTGTGAAGGCTCCAAACTAACCTGTCAGGCCTACCTGGGTTCAGAGAATTGATCTTCAAAATGGCAGTGCTATCTTCTGCTCCAAATAATTGATTTACCAGCCATGTATTCCAACATGTCCCATTGTTATCAAAGAGCTCTTTCACCCAGACAATATGACCTCTGGCAATTGGCAGCATCTCAGGTCTCAACTTTCCCAGGTTAGGCACCCAATTGGCTTGTTCTATCTTTGTACTTGCACCATCTCTCACTACAATTCTGTAGCCTCTAGCAAACTCAGGTAGAACTGACAGCCAGCAGTTCCACAACCATGAGCTGTGTTGGGATTTGTTTGCCTCAAAAATAGAAGAAGAAGGGAAGTATCTACGTTTTAAAACTTGACTTACAAGCAGATCAGGTTGGGAGGAAATTCTCCAAAGTTGCTTACATATCAAAGCTTTGTTAAAGAGCAGCACATCCATGAACCCAAGACCACCTTCACTCTTAGGGATTGATAATGTATTCCAAGATTTCCAATGCAAACCCTTTTCTTGTTGATCTCCCCTACTACACCAAAAAAGGGCACAGAGTCTTGAAATCTCCTTGGCTACAGATATAGGGATTTTGAAGCAAGCCATTGTGAAAATTGGAAGAGCACTTAAAACAGCTTTTATTAGAACTTCTTTCCCAGCAGCAGCTAACAATTTATTTTTCTAGCTAGTTAATTTAGCTCTGACTGCCTCCAAAACATATTCAAAGCCTCATTCTTGGACTTTCTAATCCCCAGAGGAAGTCCAAGATATCTACAGGAATAATGAGGTTTGATGCCATGCAAGCTGTTGCAAATGCTGTGCTGCAAGGGGGTTGGAGTGTTCTTACTGAAAATAATTGTGGATTTACCCCAGTGTACTTTTTGACCAGTGAACAACC